CAGATCCAGATGTGTTCTAGCTGCTTTCAGCAACTCTACAATAGGGAGCAAGAGGAAGGATTTGAGGGGCTGGAGTGAGTGGAGATTATAGGGGTGAAGTAGAGAAAAGCAAGCACTGAGCCAGGCACATGTCCTGGCTGCCACAAGGTTAATTTAAGACATGATCTGTCTTCTTGACCTCAGGTATGTACTGTACCCCTTGGACCTCTATAATGACAGCGCATACTATGCCTTGACCAAGTTCAAAAAGCAGTTCCTATACGATGAAATTGAAGCTGAAGTAAGTTCTCTTCATCTTTATTGTATGGAAAAACGCTCACTGGGGTCACATTGCCCTGCTTGACAGCCCCACCCAGCAGTTCATTGAATTCATTATAGGCATCTCCTGAAAAAAAAAACCCTATCAGACTGAGAAGTTTTCAAAAGATCAGAATTTCCAGAGAGCCTACAGACTCTGCTGATTAAGGTCTTCAGCTCAGCAGTACCCATGGGGAACAGCAGAGGCCAAAAGCTGTCAAACACTAGGGGCATGGAAGAGGCTGTCTGATGGGCAGAGGGTTATGAGACATCAGAAGAAAAGGAAAAACTTGAGATCCCTGAGACAAAGGGATGATTGGGGATGGGGAACTGGGACCTGTAAGAACATACAGAAACTATAAGAGAGAAATGTATCTACAATTTTCTGCTTACCTTTAGCATGTGAGAGCTACAGTGGGATTTTTAGTTAGTGTGATGTATGTGTATGTATTAAATTAGAGCTCTGTATCGAGTTGTATTGATCTTGCATGATAGAAAGGAGCTGCCCTGTGTTGGTGACTCCCTCACGATGTCTTGTTTTTTTCTTCCTCAGGTGAATTTGTGCTTTGATCAATTTGTGTACAAGCTGGCAGATCAGATCTTTGCCTATTATAAAGCGATGGCTGGCAGGTAGGAGAACCCGACTGCTGCTGCTGAGTGATGATATTGCTGCATCCAAATTGCTGTTAACCAAAAGGTTCCCCTCAGGGAGTAGCCACCATGGGTAGACATAACAAAATAGATCATCCCTGTCCCACAGAGCTGGCTGTCCGTGTCAGACCAGTGTAGATGGGGAAAATAAATGAATGGTGGCAAGGAGACAGTGTTAAAAGTGAAAAAATAGTAATTGGCATCCTAAGTAGCTGTCTGATTACAATTTGTGAGAGCAGCAGCAAAGCAAACCGAGCCTATTGAAGACATGTCCTCCCTTGACCTCTGTTTGTGTACCAGGCAGATGAGGAGTAGAAGCCTCCCATCTCTAAAAAATGGGAACATCACTTGTCCTCACTCTAGTAAAGCAGCAGGACTTGTAAAGGCTGGAAGGGTGCTCAGTATCTGAGGTCACACATCAGAGCAGCTGACTGTAGGACTTCTGCGGAGTGGCTTGCTCCTTGTGGGGACATAGGCCGTTTGTGACATTTCCTTCTAACCATTTAAAGAACATAGGTGAACTCTACTGACAGCCCTCTTCTCATGTCCCCAAAGCTGGACTAAGTCTTCAGTGTAACTCTGCAAGGAGTTTTGTCTCTAGATCACACTTGGCCTTAGAGAAGGGCGAGCAATCACCATCACCAACCAAATGTTCCCACAGCAGTTCTTCAAGGAGGTAGCACACCAGTACCTGGCACTAGTGACATCTTTCAGCACAATCTTTTATATTTTTGAATGTTTTAGCCATAAAAGCCAAGAACAGTGGACAACAGCAATGGCAGGCCCCAGATAACAACTGCTGCTCTGTGATTTAGTGGTGTAAGCAGAGTTATTAGTGTGTGGAAATGTCTTGGCATTCAGAGCAGGATGAAGGAAGAATGAAGACAACTCTGGGAAAGATCCAGAAAGAAGCTGATAGTGTGTGTTTCTTTTTTCCTGACACTGCTTCCTTTTTTCAGTGTTTTATTGGACAAACGTTTCCGGGCTGAATGTAAGAATTACGGGGTGATTATTCCATACCCACCATCCAACCGCTACGAAACACTGCTCAAGCAGAGGCATGTCCAGGTACAGCGCCAGCAGTAGACTCATAGCTCTTGGTCTATTATAGTTTTGTTGGTGGGTGGCATCCTAGTGCTGGGCTCAGTTGGGGTTGGTCCTGGAATGAGAAGGGCTGAACCTTTTTCTGAGACACCGCACTCATGCATGGGGCCCAAGGGGAAAATCAGTTACGCTCCACATTTCCCTCCTTCCTTCTTAAGTAATGGTAAACTCAGACAAGGCGTTTGCATCACCACTTTCACATTTAAGCAGATTTGGATGTCCTAGTGCTGGGCTCAGTTGGGGTTGGTCCTGGAATGAGAAGGGCTGAACCTTTTTCTGAGACACCGCACTCATGCATGGGGCCCAAGGGGAAAATCAGTTACGCTCCACATTTCCCTCCTTCCTTCTTAAGTAATGGTAAACTCAGACAAGGCGTTTGCATCACCACTTTCACATTTAAGCAGATTTGGATGTTTGGCTTTAATTTGCGTCTGTTAAAAAAAAAAAAAAAAATAAAGTACCTTTTCCCCATCTGTATATAACATGCAAATATATTCTCTTCTTTTCCCAGTTGCTGGGTAGATCAATTGACCTGAACAGGCTCATTACCCAGCGTATCTCAGCAGCGATGTACAAATCGTTAGACCAGGCCATTAGCCGCTTTGAGAGTGAGGACCTGACATCCATAGTGGTAAGAACTGTTAATGACTGAGCGTATGAATAGAGAGAATAATACACTGCTATGGATACACAGTCAACTGTCTTCTGCTTCAAGTCCCACCTACAGTAGGTTTCAGCCAGCCATGTATCCTCCTTTAGGCTGCTGAGTCTCTACTATTTCTATTTATGCAGCTTTAATTGCGTTGTTATTGGGCCATTACGTATCTGTGTAAATCACAAGGTGACAGTCAGCAGTTAGATTTTGCAGAGCTCATAGAAGAGAGTCCTGTGATCTGAGAGAAGGAAACCTTGACTTTTAATTCCCCCTGTTGGATGAAGGTGGCTGAAGCATCGTTTGTGTGTGTGCAGGATTTGCTGCCTTTGATATGTTACAGAAGCATCAGAGTCAAGTAGTGTAAAATTACCAGTTTCCACCTCTGAAGGATTCTGATGCGAAAGCCAGCCACTGCTCAGTGGGGAACAAATTAATTTTGCTTACTGTAGGTTTAGGAGATACTGGACCAGGACCCCTTGAGTAGAAGTGCAATTGGCCTCGGCCGCTGAGTTAAATTGATGTCTGTAGCATTGCTACATCTTCACCTGGAAAATTCTGTGTGGGTGTGGATATACAATCATTCCCCTGGCAATTAAATCAGCTGTTTCTATTGTCATCTTGGTAATGTTGCGTTTGCTGCTGCTTTATGTGCTGCAGGAGCTGGAGTGGCTCTTGGAAATAAATCGCCTGACTCACAGGTTGCTGTGCAAGCACATGACTTTGGACAGCTTTGATGCCATGTTCCGGGAGGCCAACCACAACGTCTCCGCGCCCTATGGGCGCATCACCCTCCACGTCTTCTGGGAGCTCAACTTTGACTTTCTACCCAACTACTGCTACAATGGATCTACCAACAGGTGAGGAGAAAAGGCAAAAGGCAGGGGGCACCTGGAGACCCTGCTTTCCTTTTCAAAATGTCAAACCTGCCACATAAAATTTGTGTGCATTGTGGTGAGGTTTTCATTCCCTATGGAATGCAAGAGTTACAGTTAAAATGAAGTTAAAGCCTGCCAGCTCCCCTTGGCCGTGAAAATGTTAGTAACAAATTCAAGCAGCAATGTTGGACAGTGACTGCAAGCAACTGAGCGGGGTTGGTTTAGAGAGTTGGTTTACTGAGCAGCAGAGCTGTGGTAGCTACTCATATATGGGTTTCTTGCCTGCCCCAAATGAGAAGAAACCCCACTTTTGGTAGGTTAGGCTGACATGGTTTACAGCACCAGTAGATTGGGGCAGGAGTTTATATTCCAGTTCGTGTAGCTCAGGTGATGAATTGCTAATTAGTCCACAACTGCAGCTCATCCCAGACTGTGCCCTACCTGCACTCAGCACAATTAACCGGGCTCTCCACTTTGCTCCCCATCTCCTGTGCCCACCACAGGTTTGTGAGGACAGCAATCCCAAACACACAGGAACCCCAGCGGGACAAGCCAGCCAATGTTCAGCCGTATTACCTCTATGGATCCAAGGTCAGTAAATGAGCCACAACAGCCAAAAGAGATGTTGGAAGTATTTATTTAGGAAGAAAAGAAATGCAAGAACTAGTTCATTAACAGAATGGCTGGTGCAAATGTGCAGGGTTGTATTGCTGTGTGAAACCAAAAAGCCATGCAAGAAGCAGATTCAGTGTGCTTTCGCTATTGCTTTCCCATATTCTTCTCCATAACGTGCCTGTGTTAGGGGATGCTGACACTGCTCTGTGCTTGGTGTTGGCACTGAGACCAAGTCCCATCCAGATGTTCAGGGAGGAGAGCAAGCTGGAGCTCCAAAGCAGTGCTCCTCCCTGAGGAAGGTACCACTTCAGGAATCCCATTTGTAGTTCAAAATGGGAATTACTAAAATACTTTGTAAGTACAAATAGAGACTACTTAACACTGACAAAAAGCTCTTTTGTCAGGCTGCGATGACTGCTTATACAGGCATTGTGAGGGCTTGGGGGTGTTGCTAGTGGAGGATCAAGTGTGAAACTACTTGAGCAGAGTTTATTTCTTGTGCACGTTGACTGATGACTGTGAAGTGAACCTACAGCACTGATGCAGATGAGCTAGTGACACTGCAGTCAGCCAGGCCTGGCCATTCCCAGAGAGCTGACCTCGTTTGTTTTTAAAAAACACTCAGCAAATGAGAATATTTTTGTCACTTGACAAAAATCTTTCTCCCTGCAACCCATGTCCTCACTTCATGTTTTACCCTGGAATAGACAGTCCCTGTGGACATATGGACAGTCCTGTTGGCAAGAGCTGGGAAAGAGCAGCACGAACCAAACCTCTAAGCAGGGTCTCCCATTATTTTGCTCTCATTGAAGGCCGTGTTGCGGCAAGACGGCCCTTTTATCGTCGCTGGTTTTATAGGAAAAAAAGCAGTGGGGGGACCTATATGGACTCTCCCTCATGAAACTGGAGCTCCTCATTAGCACAGTGGTCATGGGGACTTCCAGAAGCTCCTCTCTCAGTCCGTCATTCAGTGGACCCTCCGGCGAGCTGCTGCTTTCGCCCACTTCTTCGGGGCTGGCGTCTGGATGCTTCAGCCTCGCAGCCCGGTGGCACCGTGCAGACCAGAACTGCAGGCAGCCGTAGGCCAGGAGAGCAATGAAGCAGAGGAGCAGCAGGCTGCTCCCCAGCCACATGGAGGTGGTAGGTTCATGCTTAGAGCCACCGAAAACCAGAGGGGTTTTGTCCAGAGTGTGGAACGTGGTGCAGTGGTTGCTGGAGGGGTAAGAGTTCTTGCACGTGATGCAGAGGACGTAGATGGTGGATGGTGTGAGTTGGTGGAGGACGAGGGAGCTGAGGGGGTGAGGAACTCGCTCCTCACGGTGGAAGTTTTGGCGTAAATAGCCGGCGAAGACACTGTTCCAGTTGGGGCGGTACATGACATGGTAGTAGTTCTCTGGACAGGGGTTGTTCATGGCCCAGGAGACGGTGGCACTGGTGTAAGTGATGTTGTGCACTTCGATGTTCATCGTGCCCCTGTAACCAGATGCAGGGAGAGGCTGAGTTTCCCGAATCGTGTACAGGCTCAAAGGCCACTGACATCAGTGAAGTCTTTCCACCAGCTTTACTGGCCCTTAGATTAGACTCAGGACTATGCCTGGGTAGCTTGGATTAGATGCTAGGTCTTAGATGGCTAAAATTACAGAAGATGAGTCCTGCTGGTGCTCAGACTACTTTATCACTCTGTTTCATGAACAAAAACCCCAACTGGGACATAGGGTGTACTTTATGCTCTAGTTAGATTTTTTTTAAAAAAAGTCGTCTTTTTGACTGGCTGTCTGTGTAGGAAGCTTTTTTAGCTTTTTTGTTTCTCATTGAATAGAAAGGATACTGCAAATGTGATTAACATAAACTGATCATTCAGCTAGCTACAGCTTGCCTTGCAGAGCTTCCAAGAGATATTTTCATTTTACACAGCTTTTAAAATAGCAGTTAATAATTATTAATTTACTGGTTTAAGCTGTTGCTGCATTTTCTGTACCTAAGTTGTTGCTTAATAGAGTATAAACTCCTTCTGTTCCTGCAGCATCTCACACTGTAATATCAGGATCTGAAATGTGAAATCTGAAGGCTGGTGAAATATAAAATCAGTGCCTTTAGGGAAGTACAAATATATCAATAATAAATACAAAGCTCTCCCCCAGACAAAAGACACTGACCGCTAAGGAACTATTGTTAAACAACAGCCACAAATCACTTCAGTACCTCACTCCTCTAGATCCCTAGAGCGTTCTCGGAGCCTCGTTGGAGGGTTCTCTCTCCCAACTGGCCGAGGACTCTGAGCAGCACCTCCATGCGATAGACCTGGTTTCTTTTTTTCCTTCTTCATCTCTTAATATAACTGACTTTCCTTTAGTTCACTCAGGCAGCAGCTCATTTAACACCTGTTTTAACCATGCTTGGGTGACGAGCAGAACAGCACACGCGCCCACCGCTGAGCCCTCCCAGAGCCACAGGCAGCCGCTTCCCTCCCCGCCGGGTCCGCGGTGGCCCGTCGGTGCTGGTGAGCCCCGTGGCCACGGGCAGGCAGCGCCTTCCCCTCTTCCCACCGCTCGCCTCCCTCCTGCCTCTGCTAAATCCCTTCCCCACACACTGCTCATATACCCGTCCGGGGCTCCGTCATCTCTCACCATAGCAACCAATAGGAAAGGATGGGCAGGCATCTTCGAGTGATTTGGGAATGTTATCACTAAAAGCTTTTGCCTGGGAGAAGTATGTGTCGCTGAGGCAGAAAAAACAAGCCAGGTAATTTTGTTTGCTGGCTTGATTGGGTTGGTTGGGGTTTTCTTTTTTTCCCCTGTCCACAGTCCCCCAGCAAGACCATCACTGCACCCCAGCGGGGTCTGGGCTTAGAGACATGATGGCACATGATACGAAATCCGGGATCCTGGCCTGCAGCACACACTGATAGTTTAGCACTCAGGGGCTTTGTCTTTAATTCTATGATTTCTTGCACATGTACACTACTGATTTAAGCCAAAGCCAGTGAGCAGTGGATTTTCATCCTTGATGCTGCAGCAATGTCCATTAGCTTTTTAATATTTTCTAAGCTGTGTGATGGGAGTAGGAGCTGAGTTTTCAAAGCCTGCTTAACTCCTGTGGGGTTAAGACAGGCTCTTCTCTGAATACCCCTGCCTTATAGACAACGTGGGGATGTCCCTTTGCAGGCTGGGGAGAGGGCAGGAGGGAGAGGCAAAGCCAGGATCAGCGGTGTCTGGGGGAGCAGCCTGAGTCTGTGGTCAGGAGGGGACCGATGTAGCACCGGGGACAGACATGGCACTGGGCCTGGTGAGGAGAGGCTCTGAACAAGGGACTCGCTGCTCTCTGAAGCCAAAATGTGTTCGAGAGAGGAACTTTCCCAGAAGAAATGTTGATTCTGGGTTTGGAGTTACTCATTCCATGTTGTTCCTGGAAGGGTGCTTGCAACTTTTCGAAGATCTTCTAAATATCAACAGTGATGAGATGATGAAAACTGCATCAGGAGGGGCTATTATAAGCCCAGGGAGTTTAGGTCTGACCCTTGCTTTTGATTTACATTTTGCAGTTCTGGATGTTTTGGCTTTGTCTTCCAAGATCTGTATTCCCTTCTGTCTCTGTGAGTGAGCTGCAGCTGCCAGTGAACCGAAAACTAGGAGCAGAGATGAAAATAATTATGGGCAGGGATGGAAATGAAAGTGCTCCCAGGTGGCTTCCCGCCATTTACATGGCTCGGTCCTGCTTACAGGAGCAGGGGTATAGAGAGCTCCCAGCTGGCCCCATGCTGTGAGTAAAGCACATCCTTGCCTGCAGGGAGGGAGCTGAGGGTACAAATCCGTGCTTCAGAAAGGTGGATTATGCAAGATGGCAATGTTTTTGTGAGAGAACTGCTTTTTTTATGGCACTTGGGCTGTTGAGTTTATCAGTGTTCAGAGTTGCTTTGAAATGAAATGTCAGTTGTTCACGAATAAGATGTGTTAGCAGGAAGAGAGGGAATGGGCATAGCTGGATTAGGCCAGCAAAGGGTCCTGCTGACCTTTCTGTGTGCAGTGATCAATCCCACTAGCTCAAAGGAACCCACAGCAAAGTTGGTATTACCTGCTCCCAGAATCAAGCTTGCACCAGTTTACACTGGTGATGAGCTTGAGATTCTCATTTCCCAGGATGAGACGATGACAAAACCATGCCAGTGCCAGGACTGCTCCAGCACTGGTGTTCCCCATATCTGCAGGTGGACCCGGCCGTGGCACTGCCTGGGACCCCTTGCTCCTCATCATAGGATGCAAACCACAGGCGGCACGCTCCAGTGGCCAGCAGAAACTGAGCCATTTTCTGCCATTCAGCCACTTATAAAATGAGGCTGGTTGCCAAGTCTACAAAGAAGCTGCCAAATTACCACCAACACACTACTTACTGCTCACTAATCACTTCTTAGCTCTGTAAATGCTTTAGATTGGGCTTCATTTATGTATTTTCATGAGTGCTTCTTCATGACACTGCTGGACCCAGGGTCACACCAGACTCATTGGAAATCCCTGGTTCACTCCCCTGGTTGAATTTGCCCCCCACTTTCTAATGAGCGTGCAGGCAGGTATAATCTGTGCACGCTACCGGCACTTGCAAAAATAGTTACAAGCATGCAAACGGGATGGAGCCGCTCTATTTTCTGCTGCCGTGTCTGCAGCAGCAGCAGCACAAAGGCACTAAGGAGCTGTGGTTGCTTGGG